CACCCCCAATTGCACCCCCTGAGACAAAGCAAAAGTTAATTGCGGGTATGGTTGCTGTGTATTGATACCTCCCCAATTGAAATCTACAAATGAAAAGCCTCTACAGGTAATTTGAACCAAGTTATATGACTATTACGATAGAGTTATATTTTTCTCAGTGTACATTTGTGGATGTGGATAACTTCACACCCGTTTTTATTTTTCTGTATTTACTAATATTTTCATTAAATACCATCAAAAATTTATATTACAAAATAAATTGACTGATTTAGTACAATATAGTTTCTTATAACTCCAGTGATTACATTTTTCTAATTAATTAAAATAAAAAATATTTAACTACAATCACTAATATTGTTTTAAATAGGTGAGATAAATAAAAAATGAAATCTGTACCACAATCAATCTTTTATTAAAATTATTTGGCACACAGTTTTGGCTTAACGTGAAAATCTACAAAATTAAAAAATATATTTTAGGCTATTAAGACAAAATAACTAATTTTAAAATAATTTATGAATTTTATGTACTGATTTTTAAAATAAAATAAAAATAAATAATATTTAATTAGTCCCCGCCGAGATTCGATCCCGGGATATTCCCGTAGAAGGCAAGCACTCTGTCCAAGTGTCTACGCCACTTTCAGGATTTTGGTTTTAATACTCTTAATAAAAATAGTATCATATAGTTTAATTAATTTTTTTTTTAAATATGGATCAAATAAAAATAAAAATGCTGTTATTTATTAATTCTGCACGAAAATAACTCATTTTAATGTATATTTAATCTCAATAACTAAAAAATATTCTGATAATTAGTTTGACAGTTGAAAAAATACTGATTTTATTCTGAATATTTCTTTAGTAAAAATTGTCCTGTATGTATAAGTCGCTGGTGTGAGGAAATTGGGTACAGCTTGTAGAAATAACTTTCACTATGGCAGGAAATATGAAATTTTTACCGGTAAATGAAATCCTTTACAAAACGCTTTTTTAGGATATTGAAAATGTGTCTTGTTCAAAAGCTTATATCCAACCCGTTGTCTGATGCTAAAAATCTGGGGCCAAACTGAGTGTCTGGGGCATAGTTGACGCAATAGTTCTTTTCTACTTCAGAGGAAGGTGGTTCTGGCGAATAAGGTGTCTTATGACATAAGAAATACGTCACTTGGGTTGTGGTAGCTATTCCCCTGACTCTCAAATGGCTCCTTTTCTGATAAACGCTTGAGAGCAAGAGAGAGTGAAAGTGAGTGAGACTTGAGTTACTTGCTGAGAGAGATAGACTATAAGAAAATCGTGTTTTTCAAGTATGCAGTGAGGGTTGTAAATGTTTTAGCAAAACTGGGCTGTATTTGCACATGTAGATGGTTAAATCCCTTATTTAAAAAAGAAGATATGTGTTTTATGACAACCTTAGATTAAAAGAAAAATAAAATATTTGCTAATTATGTTTTTTTAATAAAAGTAGAAGTGAAATATTAATTTATTGATATTTTTTCTGGTAAATTTATAGAATTTAACCAACAGGATTGTCACTTATTTAAAAATTTTAAAATAATAGGTGTCTCAAATATGTTCTCACTACCTAGAATGGATATAAAATATATTTGTCCAGTTAAACAGTTAGTTCTTACCACTGTGTCAGAGACTGCTGGGCTTCGAATCCCAGACCAGACCATGTGGATTTTTAATTAAATTGCATGGTTCGGTATAGGATTTGATGTGTGCCGTATTAATAGAAATTCAATTTCTGTTGATATGACATGCAGATTAAAAAAAAGAATCCCCATACATTACCGTCTCGATGATGGTGGGTGAGGTTTTCCGGGTTTTCCTTACCTGTAAGTCAAATGGCACCATCAATCATCTTTAAGTCGCCCCGGAGCGCCACGGCAAATAATAATAGCCGTCCCTTTCCCCGCACAAGCTCAGCTTTTGGGGTTAAAATTCACTCGTAAGGGGGTGAATTAGGGAGAGTATTATTATTATTATTATTACTGCCAGGTCACCTTTTGTGACCATGCTCTGATTGGCAAATAATATTAACACTTGTATTGATGTAGATTGGACACTATCATTTAATATGTTCTGAAAACTTGTATTTAATTATTACATTACTCTTGATTAATTATTACTTTACTGAATAAGTTGTAATATTAGTTGTAATTACCTACTGTTTATTATTAATATTATTATTATTATTTATGTATTATGATACTTTTATCCATGTAATAATGCCTTCGGCCTGTTTGGATACAAATAAATAAATAAAAATAAATAAATGCACATAAAATTTGAAAGCAAGCATTTTTAATAAAATTAAAGAGAGGAAACTAAATAATAATTAAATTAATTTGACATAAGCAGAATGACATGACAGCAGTTGTTCAATTGTTATCAAGAAGTGCTGTTCCTAAAGTAGCGCTGGGAAACAGTAACAAAGCCTACACATAACACGAGGCTAATGGCCTTAGTAGTCGATGCCGATGACACCAAATTAAAAAAAAAAAGATGAGACGCTTAATTATATTTGTATGTGAGTGGCTTAAAGGTAGAAATTGGTTTAACCACGCCGCTTCGATGACAAGAATGGGATATTGCGGTCCTTACTCGGCGACGTATCATTTTATTTCTGACCATTCAATAGGATTGTGTTTCTATACCGTTCTTCTGGAGTCAGGATGGAAAAGTTAATGTATTGTATATGATTATACGTGACCACGCCATAGGCATGAAAGTAATTAGGATAGGGTGTTATAACGTATTATAAAATTAATTCAAATATAGTAACTTTAATTTCATCAGATCCTCTGCCTAGCTCATGTCAGGATCATGAAGTTCGAGCTTAGAATTTTCTAACAAACCAATGGCATCATCTTTAATTAAAAAAACAAGAAAGTGTTCTAAAAATGGTTAAGGACGCCATTACAAATTATGCCATTAATTTGCTAGTTAAAAGTAAGGAATAAATTCAGAGTGAAATTAAAATATAGTGACTTTAATGTTAACGTCAAACACTTAACAATTTTCAAAGTAAAGAGATATATTAAAACAAATGGTTAACTTTTAAATCTAATTAAATTAAAATAGAGTTATTTTAAAGATTTTCATTGGTAAAACAAATGTTTGGATTACTGGCAGACACTTATCTGACTTGGGTTGACGGTCGAGGAGTTACGGCCATAACTGTTCTCTTTTCCCTCGAGGTTTCCTCTTAATGCAAGCTGGCTGGCATTCACTTTCTCTAAGCCGGTATCCTCTATCTATATAGGCCAGTCTCCACTTTTTATATGGTATCGCCCTTGTTGTTCCTTTTCTGCACGGCTTGTCACCTCTTTTTATATAAGCCGGTCACCTCTTTTTGTTGCCGCTCTCCTCTTTATTACTAAAGAAAAAAAAACCAGTGTCTGTCACTAATATATAAAAAAACCTTTCCATCTCTTAACATGTGTTACACAAAAAGAAAGTACAAAATAAGTACATTTAATATAGAACAATTATTAAAGTTACAGTGATTGATTAAATTCGCAACAGTATTCAGTTACCTTGTTAAAAAGATGGAAAAGGAAAACAATCCAGATATATATATAAAAAAAACTAAAATGGCCGCTTTAAATGGCATGCGGTATAAAAACGAAAGAGCATTTTAACGTTAATCAACCCAAAACAATTCGTGGAACTCACGTACTAATCTACAAACGAAATGTTGAACCTGTAATCACTGATGAAGCAGTTCCAAATAACCAAATATATTAAATAATTACCTTTAGTCACCAAGCAAGCATTCATGAAAACAAACAAGTGGATCTATCAAAGTCACACCATGAAAAGGACGAGAATATTCAGTAAGCTGACTTAAAAGGTAAATTGCCTTGTCAAATCGCCCGCAAGACCCAATTCAGATTTTTCGAAGGACTGGTGGGGTTGAAACACAGAAAGAAGATATTCGCCTCAGCGGCATGATGAAATAGTTTTCCCAGGAGAGTATAATTATTAAATGTAGATAATATTGCGGAAATAAAACTGAAACGTTATTTATAACTTTACAGTGTTTCATTTGGTCAGGGACACACGGTGCTTCCAAATAACCCATACTTATTGGGTCTTCCGCCCTTTATAACCGAGATACATACTGGCTTATCAATTTTTCCGATTTTTTTCTTGACTTATATGTTACGAACCACTTTGTATATGTTTTTAAAATTTTGCTTAAATATTCTCCATAACTTATGGAATTTACTAAGGTATAAATAATGAAATCCAGGCCAGTCTTTACAAAAAATGAATAAATTCGTCCATCCTTAAAACAACACCCTGTATGTCTAAAGTTGAATTTTTATTTTTCATATTTGAAAAGAGCATAAAAATCAGAATCCAATGATGTACTTTTTATTTTTGCGTAGATCATTTCACTACTAAAATTTTAAGTCCAAATTGTTATTTTTCAACATTTTGTGGGTACAGAATGAAAACCATATATGAAAACGAACGGGATTTTATTAATTTTATTTAAGATTATTTACCTGAAGTCATTATTAAAAACTATAAACTATGTTGTTACTTGTACCTGTTTACATCTATACCACTATAAAATGTAATTACAGGGTTGTTTTTAGGGCCAAGTATCATTTATTTTTCAAACAGCTTATATAATGATTTTTTTTTAAATTACCACTTGGCAGGTTTGTAGATCCAAGAAAGATAGATTATTCTGGATAGAGGTAATTAGGACCAAATATCACAATCGATAATCAATAATTATTTTATTATTAGAATAATCAGATTTTTATTTCAGATTGAAATTAAATCGAATATTGAAAACTTAAAGGATATAAAAGCAATACCAATCTTAAATATTTAGAGATCACATTTTTAAAATCTAATTAGGGTTTCTTTTTCTAATATTTCAATCTCCAAATAGTTAAGACCTCGAGTAAGACCCTATTCATTGGTTAGAATAACTAGTAATAAACCCAGAAACATTTTTTTTCTACTTTTTAGATCTCCAAGTAGATAGACCCTATTCGTTATTTTGAAAAACTAGTTTAGCAATAAATCCAGAAAAATGTCGAGTGCTTTAGAAGTGGACAATCTGGAGGAAGCTAAGAAGTTGGTGCGAGATTTGAGACAGAAAACAAGAGCCCAAGCTCAACAAATCATGGCATGGCGGAAAGCGTATAAAATGCAAGTAAGTACATGTATCACAATTATTTTAAGTCAATTCAGTAATTCGTTAGTCATAAAACTATTTTAATAAAGAAATATTTGCATCTGAAACATTCAATTACGACTGTATTTGTTTAGAAATGTATCTTAACTGTTATGTTTCAATTGATATTGTTTGTATTTGGGTTTACAAAAATGTTTTTATAGTATTTAAGTACCATGGGAGTCATTTAGTAATTGGTTGAGTGAAACAAATTTGATTATATTTTAACTAATGTAATGTGCAGTATTATGTAAAACTCTGGCAACCCTAAAACTGTCACTCTGGAATATAATCTACTGAATATTTACAATAACTGTGATAAGGACATTCAGAGACATGATTAAAACTTGGAGAAACAGATCTGTATTGTTTGCTTTCAGTTTTAGCGATGTGTATATTGATAATGTAGATAATGGTTTTCAAATTTTTTAAATATTTTAATGTATATTATAGACACTTGTTGCCAATTAACAACTATAAAATATCAGTAAATAAACATGATGCAGATTGGATTACCCAGGAGATTCTCCAGGCTAGTCAAGACTTGTAGTAAGGCATTTCTTGTCACACACAAAAATAGCAAGCATAAGTATAATCTAATAACAAAAATAAGACAATTTTGAATTAGATTGATAGGAAAAGTGGATTAGGGTACGTTAAGTGAATGGTCAGACCGGTCGAAAGGGTCTAGTAATGCTGCGTTTGAGAATCCACATCGGATGCATTTTTTACATCTCGAGCGTTTTTTTATCCACATCGGACACATCTGTCCCATTACATTTACGTATACTGAACCACGTGATCAAAGATTTTTTACATCTCAGATGCATCCGATGTGGATTCTCAAACGCAGAATAAAAAAAGAAAACTGACCAACATGACCAGTCATGACTAATCAGCTGATCAGTCAGTATCAGTCATAATGATCGAGAAATTTTGTCTGACTTTGGTAGTCTAAACTGTCTAGTAAATAGTCATTGGCCAATTGTCAGCTGTTGTTGCACTTGCACACATAAAAAAGAATCTTCCACTATTTAATATCAGTAGATATGGGTGAGGTGAGTGTTTTATGACTTGACATAACGTCAAACCTCAACCATAGCCCATATTTATACTATTTTTTTTTATCAAAAATATGAATAAAAAAATATATTACTAAAAAAAAACTTAATACACCAATCTGAGAATAACTTCACAGTTTTTAAAACAGATTATAAAGTCCGTATGGAAAAAACTGGTGCCGGTGGCTGGTCTTGTACTGTTTTAGAGTGATGATTATGAATTTTAAAAATTAGAAGTTGACGGTTTTGACTAATTTGTTCAGCGATTTGTCTGACCATACCAGTCAACTTGACCGTTGACTTAACGCAGCCTTAGGTGTAACCCATGAGTCCATGCTAGGACCGCTGATATTTCTGTTTATCGAATTTTTTGTATCAAGTCTGTTTGTAGATGACATTTCATTGGTTGTTGCAACACGAACTCGTGATGAACTTAAATTGCTTGTTGAAGAACTTGCTTTGTTAACTAATGCAAATCAAATAGACTTATGGCCAATAGGAACAAAATAACTCTTTATAGCATTAATTTTAATTATATCATCTGTCTCACTTAAACATGGACAGAAGCTTGATAACTGCTTCAACTTTTACACAATTCATCAGCGTCTTAACTGGTTGGAATACATGTAAATAGTTTAGCTGGGCCCAGTGGCGCAGCTAGAAACTTCGTTGGGGTGGGGGGAGGGTCGAACCAGTGACGCATCGACATTGAGGGTTCAACTAAAAGCTCTGTAAGCAAATTGCAGAAACAGAAAAATGGTTTTGGGTGCCACGCCCAAAAAAAAAAACCTTTTTAGGACGAGAATTATTATTTATGCACGATTACAAAATAATTGAAATAGAATATTTCTAAAACCTACCTCTGCCACTGGTCCGAGCTAAATCAAATCCTTGTTTAATACATTGGGTTTAACATTTATTATTGATTTCCAAATTTTAAGAATATATTAAGAAAATGAGAGATATTGGGTCAAATGAATAAATATACAAAACAATACAAACAAAAATATTTAATGCAAAACTACGTCCTAAAGCTAAATTCTTCGTTTTGTTTTCGCCATTTTGACCAAAATTCCTCCTGCTGTAATAACAATATCATGGTTTGCGTAAAGGACTGCCAAACCATTTAGCCTATTCTCTTGCATAGTGCTATGCAAATAATTCTTTAAATATTTTAAATTAGAGAAAGATCTTTCGGATGTTGAAGTTGTAATGGTTAAAGTTGAAAAAAATTGTAAGAGTTTTTATATTTGGAAATATAGTGGAATCACATTCAGAATAAACTTTGGCCAGATCTTCCTTGAGGTTCTTATTTTCGCATTTTTTGTACCATAACTCAAGTTCAGCCTTTAATATAGTTTTGTTACAAAAACCTTCAAGAAACTCATGCATTTTGTAAAAGTTTTGAAGTTCCAAAAAACATTTATATTGGCTTTTAAAGTTCTGGTTATTAAAAGGAAAGATACATTCAAAAATTTGAATTGTTTTTCGATGGTTTAAGAACTTTTCTTCGAGTTTTACTACCAAGCCATCTAAAAAACGGAATAAAAATTGTGATTTTAAAATATTCAGAAGCAGAATCGGTATTTAAAACAAGTCGTTGTGTTTGTTGTGCTGGTACTCTGGGCATCTTAATGTCTATATCGAACTTCGAAAGAAGATCTTGAGCTTCTTTAAAAATATTTATAAAATGCTCATCTACATTTTACAAAAATTAAGTTCAATCGTTTGCAGTATCTTACTCAGAGGAAGCGTAAGAGCGTACAATCTTTTTGAACACATCAATGCAATGATACATTTAAAAGTTTTGATGCTGGCTAGTAATCCAGATGCCTCAGTCGAAATAGTACGGTCTGGCCATTGTTCTATTTCCTCCAAAGCTGCCACCAGCGGTTTATAAAGTTCTTCAAATATCAAAACAGCATCATGCCTTGCTACCCATCGAGTAGGACAATCTTTTTAAGCCATGCTTTTTTGTTTCCGTACATAATAACTCAATTTTTTGGGGGAGTTAAAAAAGCAATATGCTTTTTGAATTGTTCCTAAGCAGTTTCGTATTTCTGTTACATTAGATGCTGAAGATAAACAAGGGTTTAAATTATGTGAAGCTTTTGAACGCCTTTAGTATTCCCGGACATAGCAGCTGCTCCGTCATATCCCTGTACACAAAGGTATTTACAGTTAACTTCCAGTTTATCTAAAGTTCCCAAAATATTCTCAGCTACAGAAGCGCCAGTAGTAAAAGTAATTTCGACGATTGTAAAAATTTTTCATGGATTTGATCTTTCCTGTCAACATATCTGGCACATATTGATAACTGTTATTTATTTGATGCATCAGCTGTTTCATCGGTCAATATAACGAACTCTTTCGCGGCGTTAAGTACTTCTACGATTTTTTTGGATAACTAGTCGATTTCTAATATTTGATTTTGGATGTCCCAACTCAGGTATGTGGCATTGCCACCACAAAAACTCAAATGATCCAAAAGAGCTTGGTCTCCAGCTTCAGCTCTTAGCCTTAATATATTATGAAAGTTACCCTCGCTTCTGTTTAGGCCAGAATGATCCGTAATCTTTATGTCCTCTTAATGACAGTTTCATCCTTCCACAAAAAAGTATTGTTTTAATAATTGGTGTCAGTCGCTGCCGATTTTATTGTATTATTAATTCAGATGACTTGGTTAATAACTTATCTATAGAATAGCCGGAAACACTTTGTTTTAAATTATCTGCGCGAAGTACTGAAAACCTGTGATATTGTGCCACTCCTTGAGCTTCAAATTTTTCTATAGCTTTTTTTCCATCCCCGAAAAGGCTCTTTTACCAAAGCTCCAAGAATCTAGCTAGTATTATCACCGGCAAATGATGAAGAAAATAGAACACAGTATTTACAATAGGCTCTATCTTCTATTTTTGAATATGCTAACTAATTATATTTCGTCAGCCACACAGCATTAAATTTTCGTTGATGTTGTCTTTGTATTTCTAAAGGAAACACAAAATTCTTAGGTGGAGTCCAAAATCTTTCGACTAATTGTAGTTTAGTCTCTTCGTCTACCTGTTTATGTACAAAGTTAGTAATATCATACTTGTCGTGAACTTGGTTATTTTGTGAAGTGATTGGCGAAGAGGCTTCGCATTCTAATCTGTTTCCTACCGATGTTTTTTTGTAGAGGCAACAATAAAACATGTTCATCATTATCTAATTTGTTTTCAGTTAAGGCTGATGCGGTGCATTGCAGAGATGTCGATGAAACTATATGACTATTTTCAGCTAGCCTTGGTTTTTTAAGAAAGTTCCATAGTATATTCGAGGTTCCTTTATGTTTCGAATTTCCTCTGTTTTCCATCACGTGAAAATGTATTTGCCCTGCAATCTGCAATGAAAAAAATGTCTTAAGGACCTTAAGGTTGTGACAGGCTTCTGGTTCACCTACAGTGAATCAGCGAATCCATGTGGTGCTATGATGGTGATTCCCGAATAGGGGTTGCTCAGGCGCCAGTTTTGGTATCGCAGTTTGCTCTGCGACCCTGGAGTACACCAGAGTGTACTCAAGGTAAACTCAGTGGAGGTATAAATAATTCCAGGCGGTCACTGCTAGGTAGCCACTATACTAAAATAAATAAAAATAAAACACTTATCTCCTTTGCCCCTCGTACCCTACGGTACCCTGAAAGAGAACGGTTAAGAACCAGCAATAAGAGAAACACAGGAATAGGTAATAAAATATATATTTACAAAAAAATACAACAGTGGTGGTGCACGATTCTGGCACGGCTGTAAATGGAAAATTAAATAAAATGAATGATACAATTGAATGAGCCTAAAGAGAAATAATTAAAATTAAAGTATTACAATTGAAAAGCTAGTCAAATATTAATGGCTCCCTGTATTCGGAAAATTTATTAAAAATAA